GTTTGGTGTGCAGTGTGAAATTAGATTTTTCATGCTGGCACATGGGATTACAACACCGGTCTTGTTTAGGAGAGATGAATGATAGTGTTACAGTAAGTAAGAAAATATTTGAATTCCCTGCTGCAAATGCTAATCACAGAAATTGAGCCAATTTAAAGTTGCTTGAAAGATAGAGTAAGCATTTTTTGTGTGTAGGCGATGTCTTTTGAACTGTTTAAAGCCTGCTGGATGTTATTTGGGCTCGTAAAAGTGGTAAAGAATTAATGGTCATATCTGGGTGCTTATTATTATGTGGCTGTTGCAAGAATGTGTGGAAGAGTGAGTCATTTTTTATGTTCAGAACAGGAATAATTACTTTTTTTTTAGTTAAGGTTATTCTGAACAAGTTTGTGGTCTGTGCACATACATTATTAAATCAAGGGTGGAAACTACTCATTTTTGTAAACAAATTATTGAACGTTTTACTTGATAATTGCCTGGCTCTGGATTTTTTAAGTGTAGTTTTTCTGTGTGTGTGTGTGTGTAGAGAGGTCAGGTTCACACCATGGCTACGATTTTGGACATCATTATGTCTCGTCTTTGAGTGTTTGCAGTTATGACAAAAGATGTTCAGGCTACACTGAGGACCTTTAGCTGGGAACACGTAGACACAGGTCAGGCAGCATTACTCTTTAGTGAGTGGTGCTTATCTTTTAATAAACCACCTGCAGGCTCCAGGCTGTGACACGTGTACAGAGATTAGAGTGAACTTTTGTTTGCATAGGTACAGTATCAACTGCATTCATTTAGTTTCTGAAAACTGCATTTATTTTGATGATGAAAACCAGTTTACTTTCATGGAAAGAAATGATGTACTGTAGAACCAATGCCTGCAGCACCTTCCAAAAAGGTTAAAGAATAAAGCTATCCAGTGTACTTGTAATCAGCCCTATATATACTGGGAGTCTCAGTAATTCCACATTGGTGTGACTCACAAACAAATATGCTTTGTAAGATGCAGGGATTATTTCCATGAACCACTAAATCCACTTATAAGTCAGATCACTGAATCAAATTGAAAACACTGCTCTCAATCCCTTTGCCATTTTACAAGGCATATTACTCTACATCTTGGCTGGAAGAGACCGTGCTGCATTTTTTGCCCGCTGGGAGCAATTCAGAAGCAACGTGCCGGCTCTTCAGCAGCCACTTTTCCAGTGTTGCTTTGAGTTGTTTTGCTGACATTTTCGTGTTTCACAGCATATTGAATACTGGCTTGCAGGTCGTTTAGATGTGGTAAGAGATGCTTTGTGGCTGTACTTGGACTCAGTATAATGATGGTACTACAAACCTTTGCAGTCTTGTGCAGTACATTTCTTGACTAGTGTGTATTAGCAACAGCAAAAACATTGCTCCCTGCTCTCTTTTTCTTTCTCCTATTGCTGCATACTGTACTTAAAAGCAAGAAAAACTGGCTTCATGTGACAAAAAGTCATTGTAGTCAGTAGTTTTACTAATCAATGCAGACATATAAAGGAATAATTTGACATATACTTGGACATATACTGGGAAATAGATTCTTGGCATCCCTGCCAAGAGTTATAAGTTATATCACTCCCATGTCTACCTGTTCAGTATTGTATGAAGCTGGAGCAGGGAGATGGTTAGCTTAGCTTGGAAAAAAGACTGGAAATGACCACTGACAGGGGAAGTGATTAAGATTGATTATCTCATTACAGTGGCACCTGTCAGTGTTGGAAGCAGGAAAAACTGGAAGGCATAAGGATCTGAGAGACGTTGACATTGTTTAATAGCTCTGTTCAGCCAACTAGCATTTCTGGGCTCTCTAAACAATGGCCATCTCAGCCAGGACTAAGTAGCACTGAGGATGTCGTTTATCACACCTCAGCCGCCAGCTGAAGTGTGCTTCTCCTCTTTGATCGAGAACAAGGATCGATCAGCTACGGCCTTTGTTCTTAAAGGATTGACGAGGGGATGCTGTAGGTCTCCACTGTTTTGCCCCTCTTCTATTTCCCCAGTTCAGTATACACTCTTGATCTTTCAAAATGTATGAAACTGTCTCTTCTGTTGCATTAGAAGAACCACAACTCTTTCATTTCAGTGCAGCAAGTTAGTTTGATTTTTTTGTAACATTTTCTAACAGTTTTTTTTTAGCTAGTCACAGGTAAATGCTGACAAGTAGATACGATTATCAGCAGAGTACAGGATTGTCCCAGAGCTTAAGAAATGTAATGTATGTGAATCCTAAGCTTTCAAGGCCGTCTCTTTTACGAGCTAGAAGAAATGCATTCTGTCTCTTCACCAGACCTTCCCAAACATTATTCTCCCTGAGCCACACATATGGCTGTCTGTGTAGCCAGATGGCGGCCACAGAGTTAGGGTTTGGAAGGTTGTAGAGGTGTGAATTATGTAATCTTTTCAAACTGATCTTCGTGTGTGTGTGTGTGTGTGTGTGTGAGAGAGAGAGAGAGAGAGAGACCGAGTGGGTGAGTGAGATCTCAGCATTTGGCTGCAGCTTGTGCACAGATAGCTACCAGGTTTTGGCACTGTGGATTTTCAGGCTTACAGATGAAATGCTGAAAACCCTCTGGGAGTGCAGGGCACACAGGGTGAATGGGTTCACAGTTATTCCTGTTAGTCCTGTTCACTGTAATTAAAAAGATTAGGAAAAGTTAGGTGTTCTTTCTTCCTATTTGTCTTGGGATTGTTGAAAGACAACATGCAGGACATTCACTGTTTATAAATTGTCCTCTGCTGCAGATGCATGGAAAACTGGGATCCAACCACAGCTGTTCCATAATGGACAGGAAACTCCAGTGATCCTCCCCCCTTTCTCTCTGTTGCATCATCCTGCACTGGGATTATTGTATTATGGTGTGTTGTGCACACGTCAGATTTACCTTGATTGCTAGTCCACCTACTTTGTAAACTTTAATTATTCTCTCTCTAGCCTCTAATATGTTTTTGTCTGTCCTTTAATATATTCCCCTGATCTACTACACACTCGGAGCAGACAAAGTCAAAAACAAAGTCCACAAGGTGTCAAAATGCTCATTATAATGCAGACAGCAATCTGATGTAAGAAAGTGTCTGAAGGACTGCTGCAAGTTCATTTGGCTCCATTGAGCTACACCTTGTTACGCTCTCAACCCCAATTGGCATGTCGTCCAATCCAGCACACACCACACACTCCACAACACATTCACACAGCTGGATGGCAGACTTTGTCACTTGATGCCTGGAAGTGCTCAAGGCTCTACGTAATCAGAAAAAAAGGAGAAAAATGAAGAGAAAAGAGGAAAACCTCTTTGACACCAACTCACCACAATGGTGAAAGCCTGTCTGCATTTACCTCAGTGCTGCTCCCAGTAATTGAAGAGAAACCCAATAACCAGCCTACTGTGCAAGAAGTGGCATGTCGTAGTGCTGTTTCACTGCTACGTTCTGCTGCTTTTAATTTATTTGTGGACTGACATTTAATGTTTAAAACTTTGTTTTTGGATGCAGTTCATCATAAAATGGTTTCAACAAGTGTTACTGTTGAAGTTTATATTTTCCTGCACTTGTGTTCCTACAGGGTATATGACCATCTGTAAAGCTGTGTTACACAGTCATTTTTATGAAAACAGAATCACCCACCTTTGCATCCCTGTGCAGCCTTTAGCCTAATGTGGCTTATTGTTTTGGCTCTCAGGCTGCACAGACTTTATGGTTGAGTGTATCTGCCTCTTATTCAAAATATAAGGTGAGCTAAGGGGTCATTTTTGTAGTCCGTCTACCCCCGGTGGTTTACACTATTTTAATGCAGGTTTCAGGCCCATTCACAGCAGAAAGTGTTGCACAATGATACTGCATGTTCTTGTGAAACAGGCAGTAGTTAAAGCTTAGCAGTTGAAATTAACTAAAGATTTACATCAAAATGAATCGACTTTTTGCTGCCGGTGCGACTGCTCCTTTACATTTTTGTGCTTAGTTTTTAACATGTACTTCATATTAACCTTCATGTATTTGAGCTGTTTGACACACTCAGCTTTGTTATGTATTACTTGTTCTTTTTTCCCTAGGTGTTCTGCTAAAAACTCCGTTGTGATGGGTGTGTGTTATCTTCAGGCTGAAATATGAAATTCAGTTCTATTTGTGAATAATTTAAGAGCACTGAGCGTTATGATTCAACAGCTGGACAATAAATTGTGTTAAACTAGTCAAGATGATGTTTAATTTCTGGCACCATTGTAGGAGGGTTTGCTTGTTAAGTGTCTATACTTCAGACATGAAAACAATGGAAATGTTTTATCTACTAAAATACTGTGGTTGTTGCTTTGTAATTAATTTTTCCCAAACATGTGGTTGGACAAAAGAGAGTGACAATGCAAACCAGTTGCTAAGAGAGCCTCTTTCTGTCTCAGTGCAGTTTTACAGTATGTGTGTATTACAATAGATTAGTCAAAGTTGTTGATGCAGTAGTTTTAATATGTATTTGCCACTGTGCATGCACTTCAGAGGATGTAGACTGATGGTGGAGCTGAAGGCCCGAGGGAGACTAAGATAAATGATGTTAGGTTGCTGCAGGTGGATGTAGTGCAGAAATGGGAATGTTTAATAAGCTGAAAACAGGTGTGTTCTCAGTGGGCATCGAGAGTCACGGTATGATTAATCCAAAAAAATATTAAGAAAAGTTAGAATTCACTGTGTTATATGAAATGTTATAGATGTGCTTAATTTATCAGTGAGTTAATTGCATTGTCGGATCAGTTTGTACTGTATGTTTATGGGCAGGATGAACAAGTGACAGTGAAATGTGGTGAGATTTAGGCCATAAACTACTGAACAAATAGGTTTGCTTTAGTTTTGGGTCCCAAAAATCACATGTTTGTGATTTTCTTATGCCCAGCTTCAATGTAACAAGTAAGCTACTGACAACAGTTTTTGCTTTATGGGAAAAATTTGTTAGTTATGGCCACTAGATATGTCTTAACAACTTTGTTTACCTCTTTTCTCAGATCAAAAGTGGTAAGACAGAGAAGGAGTGTGAGCAGCTGCAGCTGAGGAGCCTACAGTACCTGGAGCGCTACATTTACCTCATCCTCTTCAACACATACCTGCACCTAGAGAAGAAAGACTCCTGGCAGCGCTCCTTCACTCTCTGGATGGAACAGGTACACAGTCTCTGCCCTGTTTGGCCCATTTCCTACTCTGTTATATCAGACTTTGATATTTACATACATATGCATATATGCATTTGAATTTCTTTGATGCAAATGAAATGGCAGAGTCAAATGGCAGGGAATGTGATGGATAACAAGCTAGGACTCCTTCACACCAAACAATACTTATAGATATATACCGCTTAATTAATTGGCTTTTTCTAAATTAAGATTGCATCATAAATGTCAAGATAAAGCTGATTATAATGAGTCTTTCCTTGAACTGCGCTTTCAAATGTACCAGAAAAGCCCTGCCAGATGAGTCATCTGCAAGCTGGGTCTGTGCTGGTGTGCTCTGAGGCTAATTTGCACCTCCACAAAATTGTGGAAGGGTAACAAATCTTGAATCACCCACAGTGCAATGTGTCAGGGCAGTGGTGAAACAGAAAGAAGGTGCTCTGAGGCTAATTTGCACCTCCACAAAATTGTGGAAGGGTAACAAATCTTGAATCACCCACAGTGCAATGTGTCAGGGCAGTGGTGAAACAGAAAGAAGAGATGAGGGACAGTTTTTTTTTTTTTTCAAACTCAAGTTCGTGAGATTGTGAACTGGTTGTCAGAGTTTCATTTGGGTTTTCCTCCAGGAATTTACAAGCTGGTTCTGGTTATATTGTGACCTGGTTCTTCACACACTGAACTTCATAATGTCTCAGCTGTGTGTTTTTGTTGGTACATTAGTTGTTTGGCCAGCTGTGCCCCTACAGTAAAGTTGAGAATTTATGTGCATTCCAAGCAAATGAGTAGTTTGTAAGTGGTACCCAACACACACATTTTTGTTCTATAGCCGTGATAACACTCACTGACATTTCCTAACTCCTTACTTTAACCTTAACCATGACAACTAAATTCCCAACCTTAACCCTATCCAGAACCTTAAAACCAAGCAAGAACATCTGCTATAAGCAGACAAGTCTTATAATTTGCAGCATTTTTCTGTTCTTATATGCACACAGATGACCTGTAGAAACATTCAAGAGCCTGGAATGTATGAAAATCACTGAATGAAAGTCTCTTCCTTCTTTTTTTACTGAAGTGGAATAAACTCAAAGAAAAAATATGGAATTCCCAAACAGACTGGAACAATCACTGTAAAAACCGTTGTCACAAAACTATGCATGGTCGATCAGCGCATATTCTTCCTGTTATGAATAGCAAATGTATGTGGTGCATCAGAGTGACTCTAATGGCCTAGTTATTCCATGAGAATGTAAGGGCACACATACAGACAATAGGAAGTCTCTGCTGTAAAGCAGCCAGCACTACTTGTTCTTATAGCATAATATCAAAATATTATCTCGGGATATGTCTGTATTTTATACTTTAGATAGTTTTTTGTGTTGCTGGTATTCCTTTTCTTTCTTTCTTTCTTTACTTTCTTTCTACTGAACTTGTCATGCCGTGACAAAATACTCAGGCAGTTGTGCACAGCAGTTTGTTCTCTTCACACCTCGTCACAAATTGTATATGGGAAATTGCTTTTTCACAAAGTAGTAATTTAGACACATTTTATGATACAAATAGCATGAAGGAAGAGGAAACGTTTCACCTGAAAGAATCTCAAAAAAGGAATGATACTGGTAAATTGTGCTTGTTCTGCCTTTTTAAGTTATGTATCAGTCACTTAAGGGGTTTTTCCATTATAGGAATCTACCAAAACATATGGCTCCGAGTAACGCTCGTCACAGCTTCTGTGTTTATTTCCACTACACTCAACCTGCTTTGGAGGTGCGTTCTATGAGCTAAATTTCAGCATCCCAAAGGAGGTAGTACTAAAAAGTCAAGTACCAGGAGTGTGTGTGCACAGAACAGTCACCAGTGATTGGTTAAATGTCCACGTCTTCACATCTCAAGCATTAGCATTACAAGCACTATGTGTAAACACACAGCTGACTGTGTGCAAGGGGAGCAGCCCCTCCCTCCTCTAAAGAGAAACCGGCAAAAAGAAAAACGAAGCAGGATGGTCCAAGTCAACCCAGAGGCCATGCTTGGTGATGGCTAAGGGAAGTACGAGTTATACTGCCTGTTAGGTTCTGACAGTGGAAACACAGCAATAGTGTATATTTGTAACTGTTGAAAATCCTAGCCCCTTTAAAGCATCTGTACAGTTTAAGTCTTGTTGGCACAATTTTCTTACCTGAAATTGTAGTATAAGTATGTTTCATATACTGTAGTTTCATTATTTAAGTTTAGCAGCTTAAGAGCAGTCATTTATACAGTGTATTTCTAACCCCGCTGTACACTGACACTGATTTATAAATACATTTTCATTTGTATTAGTGGTTCTATTAAAACCGGCTGCTCATAAATAATAACCACTGTCATCAGTCTGTTAATAATCAGCTGTGAATTTTCTGTGATGGGGGAGCGTTATTAACAGAGCTGGCCTTGTGGCACCTCACAGGTGTCTTATGATGCACTTTTGCCTCCATATTTCCATATTTGCCTCAAGTTTTCCTGTATCTCCTGGAACACCTGGGGCCATGTCTTAGCAGGACAGCAAAAATGACCCACTGTGTCCTTTAGATGAGCCAGTCAGCTGTCACCTCCCTGGCAATTACTGGGAAGGTTTCAAGGGAAATGTTGAACAGGCCAGTATATCACAGCCATCCATCAAGTGCACTGTGAAATATCATTCAGATGGCACCACAATACAAACAAGACACTTTCTGTTGTGGGACAGATTGAAAGACAAAAAGATACAAATGCTTATAAAGCCATATGATGTCACTGTTGTTGTAGTGGCAGAGTTATTGCTGTGATTTATTTTTCTTTGATAGCTCAGCTCAGTTTGGTTATACTCTTTGAGTATGCTGCTAGAGATTTTATAACACATTATAAGGTTAATAGTTAGTAACTAGGCAGGTGACAGAGGTTACGTCCTGGCCACGTACTCTTAACTCCTTTGTTTTCACAGGATGATGTTAAATTAAGAATGCAGGGATCTGAAATCATTACTACCACAAATTAAAAACTCCAGTCTTCCTATTACTTGATAACTGTGCTGGTGTGTACAGACATTGTTAGTACATAGAATTTAATCCTAGTCGTCTCACAGGCTGTTTATCTAAAAATAGTCATTCCCCAAAGCCTGTGATATAGCAGGTGTGTAGTAGCCCTTCAAACGGTCCCCCCAGGACCAAATTCGTGTTTAAATCACATTTAATTAAAACAGTCATTTTAATAAAGAAAAAATAATCGAAGACAAATTGTGTAAGAAAGTCTGGCGACATACTATATATGATGGATTTTCCACCACCACTATCAGTGTTGTCGTGTTTACTGGCCCAGTTGCAGCAGAATTTGACAGAGGACCGACCAATCTGACCCAAACCAGCCCGCAGGCCCAATCATTAGCCTGTCACCAGTGACCGTGGCAGGATCATTACTGACAAACTGCGATGCCAGAGGCGGCAGTCAGGCATCATTGCCATCGCTGGTGATGCATGTGAAGCTACAGTTACACAACCTGCCAGGGCTGAGCAGTACATTCTGCTTTGCATATTACAGTAACCTCATGCATGTGTGTTTGCATGGACTGATTTGATTTCTGCTGTGGTTGAAAGCAGGACAGTGTTCGCAGTCATGCAGGGTGGCCGTCTGTGCCAGCTGATATGGAGGTGGTCTTGTTTGTTTCTTCTGTTCATTAGGACTGTTTGAACCACAGAAACACATATGTGTGTATATATAAGCGTCTGAATTAAATAACGCTTACTGCTGGTCCTTTGTAGTGAGATAAGAGCAGAAACATCACAGGAGTTATTGGAATTGAAATGCATGTATGCTAATCCACTAAACACCGGCAGGACTTGTGTACAGTGCATACCATAGATGCCTGCAGGAGACTTACCCTATCAGTTGTTCCAGCTGTTATGATGTGTGGACCAGAGGCCTCCCTGTCCCCCTGCATCACCCCGGTATGTGCAGCCTTTGAGTTAGCCAGCTGCGGGGGAGACCAGCACCTCCTCACCACTCTGCCCCTGTCGCCACACCAGCAGTCTCACCAGTATTGCTGCCTGTGATGTCTAAAATGAATGACTACTTTTATTTGCTCATACCCAACCAACAAAGTTTTGTTAGATATTAACAGGTGAAAATGGAAGAAATCAAATCATAAGAAACATCTCTGGAGCACTGCTGACATGGCAGCTAGTAGTCAGAGTCAGGGGTGGAAAGTAACTACTGTTTGTGCCACTGCATACTTTGACTTCACTACATTTTAGAGGCAAATGTTGTTCTTTTTACTCCACTACATTTATTTGATGACTTTAGTTACTTTTCATAACCAGGTTAATACAAAACCTACAGTGCAATCATAGGTCTTTATTGATCTCTGGTGGCAAAGTCACAAGCTACCCAGCAGTAATTCAAATTACAACCTTAAAAGGTAGTTAAAATTTGCTCCACCTTTACCAGCTGCAACAATAATGTGATGTACATAACAGTTTCAGTAACTATAATCCAGTAGTATGTTATACGTTCATGTTAAATGTGCTATAAAGAGTAGTTTTACTTCTAGTAATGCACCATGTTTTCAGGCATGCTGGTGTCACAATAAACAGACCTAAAAGAAACTGTCACGGTCTCCAGAGGATGGATTGCCCATGACTTTGGTGAACAGATGGGTGGATGACAACTTTTTGCTGTTTTAAAATTTCACATACAGCTGGGCTATGTCGTAGATGAGTAAGGCCAAGTGTGCTGGTTAACTACACCTACACAGAGTTTTTCCTGGGAGTTCTCCCCACTGACTAATCACTGTGCTGCACCCACTCATTTGTTCCCACTGAAGAGGTCATTGTGCCGTGGAGCTGCTGCTGTCTAGGGCTACATCAGATGCAAACATGCATGTAGTTAAAGGCCAATCATTTAGTGCATGTGTTTGTTATAAAAAGCTGAGTGAAAACCACAAAATAGAAGCTGCATAATAGTTTGCTCACTGGACTGAGGAAGCTTCGAGTCAGTGTTGATCGTACAAAGCTAAAGTCTTAGCTTTAGATATCTATTGTATGATCTGATTTTGTATGGTCAGCAAGTCTGTAATCTAGACCACTCTCTGGTGCCTTGGGTTTGTTTCTGCACAGAACTGGCCAGCTAAGCTATAATCATTGTTCATGAAACAGATATCTTGAAACTATTATTCCAGTCCATTGTTCCAGTATGTCTTTAACCTGACAGTGCATTTTTAAACGTATCCCCAGCAGCACTTCATACCGGATTACTCCACGGCCTCAAGGTCATAACCACATTCATAGTCTTCATTTTTGTTTAGTTCAAAAGTATGCTTCCACAAATGGTGCCCTAATTTTCATGACTGTTTCAACATCTCTCCTCTTGCACATTCCTCTCCACTCCAAAATTTGAAGACTCATTGGCCGCCTGCGGAGGAGGAGAGGTTAAATTGGTGTTTTAGGTCACTTCAGCTCCACTGTCTTGTTCTTTTAATGTCTTGCAAACTAGCTAACCAAGTTCAGCCAAATCCTATATCAAGTCCAGGTTGAGGCTGTAAGCTGCAAGAGATGTCTTTCTCTCATGCCTTTGCCCCTCTGATGTAAAATTTATACACAGATTGATTGATATAAATATATATTCAAAAGACTTGGTTAACACAGTTGAAAGGTCTCTGTCTCTCGTATGCTCTTTTATGAAATGTAGTTGTTGAACATCGCAGTCCAGCTCGGGTTCATCTTCTCCTGCAGAGTAAACTGGGCAAGCTGTGGCACTTCTCGTGGGGTATTCAGTCTTCAAAGGTTTTGCAAAGAAGTCTGTTTCTACTTGGTTTGTTTGTGTTATCCGTCTTGTTTTGCTTTATGGTCAGATGTTTCTGGTTGTCTATGGTTTTTCCCATCAGTCCTATGGCGTTTGACAGCCACAGTAGACCATGAGTCGGCGTGACCTGCTGCTTAACACGGACATTGACCTTTCCTGAGAAAAATCTTTCCATGTTCCTCTCAGTCCCCAGTCGGTAATGACTCACCCAGAAAAACTGAATAATATATACTGATGTCCCATTACTGTACTTATGTATAATAATGAGGTAATCTGTTTTCAGTTCACTACATTTCACTGGTTAACATTTTACTTCGGCTTCAAAAGTGAAGGCTTGTACAGATGTTCTTCAGTGATAAATGGACTGAATTTGTATAGCTCCTTTAACCAAAGCATTTTACAAGTTGCCTCTCACACAGGTGGCACAGGTGGAACCAGCAGGAGGAAGTTGGAGTTCAGTGTTTTGTGAAGTTTTGTGATTAGCTTCCTGGTGTTGGAATGATGCTGTATGTTTTGCCTTCACATCATACCTGCTTTCACCAGCACATGGGAGGATATTCTTGGCTATGCTGTGTTTTATTCCACTTATTAATTAATCTGACAGTGGATATCTTGTATCTGCAGATCGCGTGCACGGTGCCTGCAGTTTGACTGCAGACATTTGTCACAGGTCTCTCTCTCTCTGTCCCTGTTTCCTCTCTGTCTCAGTGACCGATTTGTAAAATACTAGCAAAAATGCCTAAAAATACTTTACTTAAGGTTTCCATGAAGGAGTACTTCTTCACCTTCCATAAAGTTTGGGACTTAAATGAAAGAAGCCAATGCTCAACATAGCCTGCCTTTTATTTTTAGGTGTAGGTTGAGCTCTGATACTGATGTTCCCTTCTACAGTTCATCTTATCCCACCATGCAGCTCAGTAACATCTTCTGATAACCATGAAGACATCAGACAGTCCCCGCCAAAGCCACAGAAGAAAATCAAATGGTCACAAGCTAAATATTTCTCTTTAACACTTAAACCAAACTTGATGTGTAAAAGTGGTGAATTTCCCCTTTAAGTAAACTAATTCAGGATATTTCTTCTACCACTTCTTCTTGATTCCAAACCCACTCTAGAAACTTTAGTTCCAATGTAACAGCTGCACATGTAGGAAACAATCCGATAACATGTTTTAACTCTGAAAAAGCATCAGGGAAACTGTTTGTGTGGCCACAGTGGAGAAATCTAATGGCCGACTGGCTGCGCTGCATGCTCCTCAACATGTTGTGTGTTTCTGTGTTAGGTGGCTGCCAGAGCTGGAGTTTATGACATCCTCAACCAGCTGGGCTTTTCTGAGTTTGAAAACCCGAGGGACACGCCACTGGCCAGGCTGCGCTGCCGCTGGCAGCAACAGAACATTCAGTCACTTCCTTTCCGAGGGGAGTTCATCTGAGAGAGGATCACTGTGAACACACCAAAACAGTACTGTGCTTTTCTGAATAGACATTTAGGAACATTGCCTTCTATATTTACCCCTGTATTGTCCACATTTCTACGTCATCTTTTGTTTGTGTAACTGCTTTTTCTGTTCAAACTTGGCAATGTTAACATTGTGTAGGTGTTTTAATATTAGGTTAGCAGAGAGTTGCTCCTATATTTGTACCTTTGCTGATTTTTAATCAACGGTAGAACATAGAATTTCAGTCTGATAATTTGTTGTTTTTCGAGGTTTAAAAAATTCAGCATTTTAAAACTTCATCCATAACTAGGCTAAAGTTAAATGTTAGAGGAGAAAAGTAAAATCCAATCTGTCAGCCAACAATTTTGGTTGTATGTCACAACTGTTTGCTATTGTGTGACCTGATGTTTTTGTTCTCAACACAGCCGTCAGTGGCCAAGGATCTGTTTGACTTGAGGTTTACAATTTTTCAGAAGATTCCCTGTGTTTATATGAAAGCTGATGTTATTTAAAGGTAATGTCTTTTTGAATTTATAAGGGAGCTTTTCATTATCAAAGCTTATTGAAATGCTACAGCATAACTGTGATGTGTCCCCCTGTTGTACCTGTTTTTTTTTTTACTTTACATGTGTCATACAGGTTCAAACAATACAACATGTCAGGATTTTTTGGTTTGATTTTACTCTGAAGGTGTCTTTACCTTCTGAAACAGCCTTCACTTTTCATCCCCAATGGTTTCCTCTGAAGTTACATTACGCTTGATAACCACGCTGTTCAGTAGTACTCCTCTACCTGTAAGCCAACTTTGATGTGTAAAACTGACAGACTTCCCTTTTAATCAGCTCGGCTGTCACACACCTCACGGCCCCTTTCTCTGTCCCGACATCAGTCTGTCGGCAGGAATCCAATTATACATCTGACTGTAAAATGTATGGTTGGAAAGGGGCAGGCCAGCAAATACTTGGTGTAACCCAGGATTAAAAAAAAAAAAAAAACGCTTGGTCTCAATTCATGAACGATACCCTTTAACAACTGCAGTTCTTGTTAGCGGCATCAGTGGCAGCAGATAAAAGCTGCATGATTCATTGTTCAGGACAATGAGTTATAATTACACTGTCAGACAAACAGGGCAATAGTTAGACCATTTCTGCCATTTAATTCCAGCTTTTACTGTGCAGTATTTCTTAAAAAGTCCTAACACATTTTGAGTATTTTGTCATTCTAAAGGTTTGCTAATTTGTGTTTAGTTGTAAAGTTAATTGTAGCTTAAAGTGTACTTAAAGATTCATGAATGCTGACTTAAAAACTGAAAGATAAGAGAAAAAAAATCAAAAATCTTTCCTTTCGATGCTTCTCGTCCTGATTTGTTCTGTTCTGTCGTTGCGTCAGATGATTTTCACTGTATATAACTGATCAGACCAACTGAGCAAAACAATTTAGAATTCATTTCACATCCATGTGATTTGATAACACAGTGAACATAGATTTACAAAAATACCCTAACATCTTAGCTGCGCTCTTAATTAAAAGTTTGTTTTTTATAGGAACTCAGTAGAAGCAATGTATTGTCTTTTGATCACTGTAAGGACCATTTTCTCTGGGGGGAGGGGGGCTAAAATAAATAACTCAAACTAATTTAACAGCCTTCGTCTGCTTTTGGTATCATTCCATTTTCTGCCTTTCTAAGGAGAAAAATGAAATCCAAGGATTATGTGTCATCTGTGTCAAGGATTTGGATATAAAAGTGCGGATGGATTTTTCCAATCATGGATATTCTGCACACAACGCTCTGCTGTGGGTTGTTTCATTGAAGTTTCTGATCCAGCGATGGAGCCAAATAATTGTTCCTGTCCTTCCTCGGCTTCCTTTCTTTTTCCTCCTTATCTTGTCATCTCTTACTCCAAATACACACCGCTAAGAACCCACTCGTATGTCTGGATGGCCTCTTTGTTTTGTATTAATGCCAACCTCAGAGAGCAGAGCAGGTTATGAGCATCAAGCAGCGTACCTTTACACAAAAAACAGCTGAGTCATTGTTGTAATCTTAACATAGTCCATATATAGTAATAAAGAGCTTAGATGGATCAAAAGACTAATCTGAGCTGCCTTTTGAAGTGGACAGGTAAGGTCTTAATTAAAAATAATATCTTCACTCTCAAGAATGGAGGGCTGTGTGGAGATTAAAGTCACTGGCCGGCCCATCAGTGAAGCTCACTTGGCTTTGCTGGCCTGCTTTGAAAGCCTGATATCCTAGATCACTTCCCATATTGTAATTGCATAGCAGGCTTATCTTTTAGAGTGCGGAAGTTGTTAGGATTTTATTGCACCACGGCCTATCCTGGATTATTACAGATGCAAACCAGGTGCTCTAGATTGAAATGCTGCTTTTATGGTTTGGTAAACTCATTTCCTTTTTACATCATCTCAATTTGAGCTTCCGGTAACACTTTAGTTTACATTTCCACCATTTCCAAATCATTTCTTGAAGGTTTCCTGTAAAGAATGTAGTTTGGTACTAATTACAGAAAAAGATAAAGTTCAGAGACTTTTTTTTACTTAGTCCAATGAGTTGCATTGAGTTTATTTTTGTCTTGCACATGAATTTTCATGAAATAAGTAGCTCAATTTAAACCTCAGTATTTGCTGTTCATTTATTATTTGAACTGTTGTGGTTGTTTGTAGACAAATTTCACACATTGCATGTGTAGTTCACCTCCTGGCCTCTGAATAAAAGCTCAAGTTTGTGCTAGCTTAGCATTTAGAAAGAACTAGAAGTGTACCACTCTGTTTTTAACTACAGTTAGTACCAAATTATATAGTTCTGTCCAGGAAACCTACTTAAATGGAATTTACAGACCCCTGTTTTTTAGGGAGTTGGAGGTGTCTAGGAGACGTATTGGTAAAATACACACTTTTAGAAGAGCACAGGGTCTGTGAATTTCTCTTAACTTTTCCTACAGAGACGAGTTGAAACAACATGCGGATATGGAGTTGGGCTATTCAGCATGTGGCCAACTTGACTCCAGGTCAAGATAAGCACAGGACATGAGGACCACGCTTGGATGATATAGCAGCCCCTTTGCCTTTGAAATACTTTCCAGACTCATTGAGATACTCCCCAACGTGAAACTCAAGCTAGCGGTTCTGAAGGATCCCGAGATTATGGTAGACAAAGAGCAGCATTGAGAGGTGAGCGGTGAGACGGGATGTAATGAACTTCATGTGAAAAACTTCCCTCTGCAGATGAGAGGGCTGCTCAAGAAAGGAGGCCTGGTGCCGGTGCAAGGGTTGCAGGGGACCGCTGCTGACCTCGGAGCATTATGAACACCTCAGGGACACGTTTGTGCTCTCAGCCCTCTCAAGGATTTAATCCACAGTAACATATTCTTAAATCTGCACTGGCAAATGCATGTCATTTATGTCTACAGGAGGCCTTTGTTTACTGTGGGCAATAAGACATCCCATCAACTAAGATTTCATTATTTAGAGGTCCCAGGTGCAAGTGGCTATCCTTTAGCTACATAAGAAGAGCGATGTCCTAAAGTGCAGCAATTGGTGACTCATAATGTAAAAGCAGAAATGCCTCCAGTAAACCTGCACATCTGATTAAATGTGAGACCTTTAATGCGAGTTCTGCAACTCACCCTGTTTGATAACTGACCACAATATTATAGCTGAGAGCTGAAGGTTAAATGAACTCAAGCTATGACCTGGTGGTTAAATTCAGAAAAGTCTGTGACAGCAGACATTGCATGTTTACACACCTTGAAAAATTAAGGTTTGTACAATCAAAAGGACAATGATACAAAGTAACATTTTTGTTTCTTACACATTTTAGTAAAGCTTAAATGTTTTAAGATAGGTATTTAAGGTAAGTAAGCGACAGCCCTGGATTTGCTAAACTTCTCCAAGTGTATTTTATTGTAACAACGATGCAGCTAAGGTGCTTAAAACCATACTTCCCTGAAACTAATCATGTTTTGTGCCTAAATTTAAACTGACCTCAATTATAGCATTGTAGCATTTTAACCTAATACAATGTTGTGATTTTTTTTTTAACATTGATTTCAAGGTTTGAGAAGGCACAGAGGAATTATGTTGTACTGCGAAAAGTGGTGTCAAATCTGGAAATGCTCTCCTGTGTCATCTTGGACATATGAAGAAATGTTTAATTTGGTAAACTAGTTTCCCCAAGACTTACATCTAACTCTTGACAAGAAAGTGTCTCCCAAAAATGTCAAACTCTTCCTTTCACTTTCCATTAAATTCTAATTTAAAACAGTTGTATAGTTTTATATGAAAAAAACAAAAACGGCATAAAACATTTTGGTAATGAAGGTGAACTCTTTGACACAAAGGCAGTTTAGTGACACATATACAGTACAGTAGATGTGCTTTTGCAGCTGGACATACAGACAATACTCCCACACTCAAAGATCAAGTGAGTCATCAAGTCTGACCAGGGCCATAACTTGGCGCTCATCCTGAAACTTTTAGTCCCAAATCCCTCCATGCATATGACAGAGGACAAGAACAACTCCTCCAAGTCACTGGTTTATAACTTAGCATGTGCCGACAGTCCTCTTCCCTCAAACTGCCATCAGAGCAGCAGCTGCTTTGCATCTCCGTGCATCTCATGGATGAAAAGTTACATATTTTCTCAGCATACTGGCATAGCTAGACCACATTACAGCACACACTGAGGCATCCACAGCCTTGCACATTGTACTGCAATTTCTCCCTATTTCTGGGAACACTGTGGTAGAAGCTTGATTCCTTGCAGTTCTACTCTCAGACTGGGCTAAATACTATTCAGTAGACTGGGATATGTCTCGTTCCAGCGTTAAATTGTAGATTTAGTCTGTCATTGCTACTGTTAGAGGAAAAGATACACATATAGTATTATAGAAATTTATACTTTCAAGTGTTTAAGACTCGGTAAATCACATTTCTCACATGGATCTTTGCAATGTATTGTCTAAACACCAGAGAGCTGGGTTTGATTTGAATCAGGAGTGTATTGAAGTTTTTCTCTTACACTCCTGTTGTGAAGGGCAGAGTGTTCAAATACAAGCACTGTAGTAGAAAATTGTTCTAGTGTGTGGACCTAACCACAAACTGTGAGTGGAGCTATTCATTTCAGAAGGGAAAAACAAGGCTTCTAATTGAATACTATGCTATTTTGTGGAATGTCATCCTGGCTTTTAGACACACACACACACAAAAACTCCAAACACTATGGATGGAAAAAGAGCATAAAACATCTTACAAGGCAGTTAATGTTTTCCATCTCTTAATGCTGTGGTTAGTTTCCATCATTTATTAATGCACGGATTTGAATCACCATCCAGTCCTCTCTTTGCCACCCTGGGGGATGACTGTGTAAAACCCACACCTGCTCTACATTGACAACCCTGGGAGCATGGACATAATTAATCACAGAGTGAGTGTATAGATACTGCATGGGTAAGGTCGCTCAGACCAGCAGGGTCCAGACAAAGTTGAAAAGCTGTGGAGGTAAAAGAATGTCCAGTCTAGACACCTACTTCTCAGAAAAGTACCTCAAAGTCAAAGCTTCCTCTGAGAAGCATTCCAGTGTTGTTGGTTCAGTGTCTGTGTGGTCATGTCTTGACTAAGTCTGGACTCCAGCAGAGTGAGCCAAGCCAAAAACTCAGTTTCTTGAGCAGTCATCCAAAGTTTCAACATGCTTTTATCATTCCACTGATGAAATCCAAAGTAGTTTTCACACCTTCTAAGCCTCGAATTATGGTGTTGGATTGGTTCACTTTCTGCAAATGGAAGATATGCTCACAGTGACATCTGCAGGATTAGCCCTGATTACGAAAACTTGAGGTACAAGCTTCACGAGGTCATTAAGTTCAGTGATGTAATGTGCGCTTTGTGTTCAAGAAGCATGAAAATCTGTAGTTACATTAAATCTGGTTTTATCTGTGTAAGCCATTGACAGGCCTGATTTTTTTAAAGGCACACTTTAACTTGAAAGTGGATGTAAGGAACATTTATGGCAAGCCAAAAGTGTTTCAGCATACATGTGAGAAAGTATTTAAGATAGACCTGATGGTAGCAGTTTCTCTGCCTTTAGTGTTTTCCATTGTTTTCTATATTTAACATGTTTTTATTCTCTGTACAGTTTGCATGTATTGTGTATATTCTGTTTTTGATAGTGTTTCGTTGTTGTCGTCATGGGTGCATTTTAGTAATCTACAGTAAAGTATGTGTCCACTTTTTAAGCGCACTGAAATCTTTGCACTTCTGCCTCCCTTGATTTATTGTTATCACGTTGTTACCATGTTATCACTAAGGTGTTTGTGGGCTAAAGTAAACACATGGGTTTCTACCTTACGTCTGGTAGTTTTTCAGCCTCTTTAAGAAAGTCAAACACATTTTAACACTTCATTTTCGCTGTGGATGTGGACTTATGTGCAGGCAGTGATGGTATAAAGACCCCACTTTCTCTTTTGTGTTGGAAAAAAAACGGCTGGCTAAAGATGCGTTTGTGTGGTAGACTGGAAGCGCTTCCACTGTTGGTTGGTAGTGGCTTCAAGTTGTGAACGGTGGTGAGTCCTGCAGCCGAACCACTGGTGCGTAATGGTGCACGACTGGGCGGCAGATGTTCCACCACCGGGACACTGTCTCTGCAACACTTTATCTGAACCCTTTCAACTTACTTTTCTCGGCGGAGGCGTGCGTTAACTTGCTCCCCTGCCTTTTTAAAAGTTATCTGAGGAAAAAAAAAAGAGGAAGAAATAGAAAAGTCCGGGTTACTTCTTCAAACCGTCCCGGTTTCACCGGGGAGTTGTCGTCATCAGCACCCCAGATATACTGTACCCCCCACCCTCCCTTAGCTTCGTAAATGGATGGGGCAATCTTGGTCTATGCAATTCAACACAGGCCAAAAGATTGGAAACAACTTGAAAATATCCGTCAGTTTGTCCGGCTGCTTCGCTGCAGCTCAACTCTGAGGACTTTTCTCCTGCATTTGTGCTTTTTACTGGAGGAAGGACTCTGCTCAAAGTTTACAACAGAAAGAAAAGCTCAGCGCTGAAGTGGCAGCTCTCACACTATAGCCACCGCTATGGATTGTATGCATTTATTGATGTACTTTTCACTCACTCAAGTATGTTTGGACCTTATTTTTGCTGCAGAAACACAAGGTGAGTAATCCATTTCTTTTCTTTTCTGTGCTTTTGTGCTGTGCAGCTTAAAGAAATGTAGCCTGAAGCGCAAATGAGGGGGGCTAATGATAAAAATAATGGGCTATTTTTATTGATAGGTCAACAAAGCTTTGGCAGCCTTACAGTTCCAGATGAACAAAATGAGCACAGTTTGTTGAACCCCTGGATGTCCACAGTACTGAGTGGTGGAGAAGCACTCAGATCCTTTACTTAAGTAAAAGTAGCACTGCAGCAGTGTAAAAATACTCAGTTACAAGTCAATGTTCTGCATTCAAAATGTTACTTAAGTAAAGTACAGAAGTGTTTGCATCAAAATATACTTAAAGTACTAAAAGGAAAAATAATCATTATGCAGAATGGCACATTTCACATTCCTGTATATCATATTATTGTATTTTAATTGCTTATGCATTTAATTTGAATTACAGCTGGGTAGCTTGTGAATTTTCTACCATAGATCAGTGAGGTCTTATGATCATACTGTATTCTTTATATTACGCTGTTATGAAAAGTAACTAAAGTTATCAATTAGATGTAGTGTAGTAAACAGTACAATATTTGCCTCTAAAATGTAGTGAAGTCAAAGAATGAAGTAACACAAAATTGTACTTAAATACAGTACTAGAGTAAATATACTTACTTTAAATAAGTAAATATAGTTACTTTCCACCACTGACAGTATTTGTACTTATGATACCAGCTTAATAAAGAGAACATTCATTCTAAGAGACTTTTATATGCTTTATATCATATGTTTGAATACAGTTTAGTTCTGTTCTCTATCATACAGCATATCTTTTTAATCATTTAGCTTACTTTGCTCTGTAGTCTTTTCTATAGGAACTTGTCTGTAAATGAGATTCTCACTTGACACTATCTGTCCCATCAGAAAAACTCTCTGGAAAGTTAAGTGAATATGGTCTTATCGTGCCATTCAGCACAGACTCCCATGGCCGGTACATTTCTCACGTGGTCTCAGCTCGAAGCAGAAGTAAAGGTGGTGGTGCTGCTGATGCCGGCTCAGCCTTTAGCAGCAGGAGAAGAGTGGCCCGCGATGCCCCTGAGATGCCCTCGGTCACCTCTTCTGCAGCTCAACACTTGTTTTTCAACGTCACTGTGTTTGGGAAAGAACTGCACCTCTGCCTGAGAGCCAACAGGAGGCTGGTGGCCCCGGGGGCGTTTGTGGAATGGCATGAGGACTTTGAGGAAAAGGTCAAGGAACATATCCACAGGGACTGTGTTTTCACTGGAGATGTGAGTGACATGCCAGAAGCCTCAGTGGCTATCAGCAACTGTGATGGACTGGTAAGTCACCAAAGCACACTTGAACTACTTGTCAGATTGAGAGAGGTACAGCAGGAAGGAAAGATCCTCCCTCTTCTTTGGTAAAGTGGAGTGTTACAAACTGACATATGACAAATTACAGGAAAAACCTGAATAATGTTTTTTTCCGGGATGACAGTACCATCATCCATAGGACACGAGGGGTCAGCGAATGGTTTGATGAATATGAAAATGATGTGAATCATAGTCTTTGGCCTTCAGTCACCAGATTTCAACCCAGTTGAACAGCTATGGGGGATTTTGGACTGTGTTAGACAGGGCTCTCCACCACCATCATCAAAACACCAAAAAATGAAGGAATGTCTTTTGGAACAATGATGTCCATCCCTCCAGTGTTCAGACATGTAGAATCAATGCCAAGGACCAGTGACGCTGTTCTGGCGGCACATGGTGGCCCAGCACCTTACCAAGACACTTTATGCTGGTTTTTTTGGTCATCATTCTGTATTTAATTAGGAATTCTTCAGGCAGCCAGTGTTAGGGGTAGAATACAGCAAATCTGGCTCTTTAGCTAGTGCGTTCACTAGCTAGTCACTAACTCTTTCTGCCGCTAGCATCAAGCTGCTATTAGGTGTCTGGTTGGTAGCACAGTTGGTAACTCATGTCAGAAAGTTTTATTGGCCCCTTTTCTGTTGTTGTGCAGCTGCTGAGGATGTTGACTGCAGAGGTACATAATCCTCAATGGATTCATCACTATAATCGACCCCTTTCACATTACCTGTAGATATAATCCACAATTATAGAAATATTGGCTAGCACAGTTTAATGAACTGATGTTAATTAGCTACATTACGACAAAATTTAATTTTTTTTTTAACCTGTATTGGAAAATAGCTTTAAGGTAAAACTACTGACATTTGTGTGTTTCTGCGCTATTTCTAAAATATTGTGTCTGGAAAGACGTGCTGCAGCTGGCTTCAAATGTCAGAGTTCAAAGCTTTGAAAATGACAAAGAATAATGTGTTCACTTCTGTTGTACTGAGGCTGCAGCAGAGGTCTTAGACTAGGTAAGCAAAGTCAGTTATCTCCATGGCTAGATACCGGTCAGTGCACGTGGGTAAAGATGTTTTTTGTGATTTTGGTATACTCACCCTTTAAAGGCTACCATCACACTCTTAGGGATATCATCCATGTGTTTCCTTGCATCAAAGCCAACATAAACAAAGACCTGTCTGTGCATGCAGGTAGCATTTGAAGCTGCACAGGCAGCTTGCAGGCAAATGATTTGGTCTGAAATATCTGCTTGATGTGGAAGGACTTGGAGGAGATCATGTCTGATGAAAGGACAGAGTCTGAAAGAAGTAAGAATCAGAGAGGAGATCATGTCTGATGAAAGGACAGGGTCTGAAAGAAGTAAGAATGTGAATCATGCGCTGAGATTGCTGCATGCGGGCCAAATGTCTGTAATGTACTGTACTGTCTTTATGTTTAGGCATGCTATCTTCAAAAGTACGTTTGATGAGGTCACCTATACAGAACAGACTAATACTGTTGGAAACCTAAAGCTGATGTACAGTATATAACAGCTGCATACACCATTTTTCCCCTGTAGTATGTGCAAACCTTGGAAACCTCAGACTTCAAGAGCACTCCAGCAGTCATCACAACTCCTAACCATATAGATTGTCAATTATTCTCTTAAATCTGACTTTAATATTAGTGTGTCTGCTTTACAGAAAGGCTGATTTCAAATAGCGTTGCATGTCGTCACCAGTAACATGTTGTAATCTGGTCTCTTGCCATGTGCCTGTAATCACAGGATTTATGGCATTCCAAGCTCATGACAGACAAGACATGTATAGCATAAAGATGCAAATTAATGTGATATATCTGACCTCAGCACAGCCAGAAAAATCAGCTGAGATTGCATAGAAATGAAGAATGACTTGGTGTTCTAAAGCAGACCTGCACTTTCAGTTTCACTTTTAATCTAGTTTATGTTTGATGGACCAACATCTCAGCATCTGCACTGTCTTGCACAGACTGTTACTTCTGCTAGATGGCAACAGCTGTGCACTCCAGACAAGCATGAACTATTGTTGTAGAGCAATGAGTGATGGCTCTGATTATATCGGTGCTGCTCATGTGTTGGTTTAACACAGATGACAGGCTGATTGAATTACATGTGTGATGGAAACACAAGTGCCAGATAACTGCACTTGGAAGAGTGCTATTTCTATGTCTGTCGGTTAAAAAGAGAGAGAACCACCTAGCAACAGTCAGTAGTCAGTTGTCTTACTGTTTATTAGGGTGGGGGACGAGAAGGGGCGGTTTTCCATCCATCAGAGATGGAAATGCTTGCATAAATTGTTCTATTCATGAATTTTTGCAGGATTTACTGGTCCCAGTCCAGTATTCCATCTTCCTCTGGTATTCCAGTGCTCTGCTGGCATGAAGGTAAAGTCACTAAATTAAGAACTCCATCAGTGGAAGCCTGACATCTCAGCCAACAATTTGCAGCAGCCACAGTATGTCAGTCTCATTTAAGCACACACTGTAATACAGGACACGCATACATGCAAGCATATATACCGTATCTAAACACACATGTGTTTGTCTTTCTGTACTTGTGAGGAGACTCATATGCATGTGCTTTGTGATCCAGCACAGTGGAATGTGATGTGGAAGCTGATAAAAAGGAATCAAGTAGTATCCCCCTGCTCCCACAACCTGTCTCATACTATTATTTCAAATCGTGACTCTGCTGAGTTCAGCACCGCTCAGCCATGATTTACTCCCTGCCATATTGATCCTCCATGGTTTTATCAGAAAAGCCTTTGTCCAGGTTCACCCACACACTGGATGTTGCTCATATCTAATGAATGTTGTGTCAGAAATCTAATTTGTTTTTCTCCACTATTGGTCAGATTTGTTATGAATCTTGAGACCTTGAGCTTTGACAGTGATTTACCTTTTTATAGCTCTCCCACTCTTGGAATTAAATGTTTCTATTTTCATATTTGTTTCTCACTTTGGTGTGCTCACTGCCCTGAGCAGCATGCACACCTAATATTACATACAGTAAATATCCATCTTCAAAGTTGTTCTCACCGTTGTGTGGAATTTAGTGCATTGGTGTGCTTAAGCACTTAGCTTTATTTGCCTTTATTTGTACAGTGTCAGTGGCACCGCTGGATGCCTCAGTGTCTCTCCTTCAGAGCGTTTTTCAGTGCGGAGGCAGGAAACACTTGCAGAACCTCACACTGATACAAATGGAGTCCTCCACTGAATGCCGCAGTGCTCGTAATGATCCTGTATATAGACACTGACATCACTTGAAGCAACCCGATGACCTCTCTTGACCTTACAAAAGCTAATATCTTTCTATTGGTGCTAAATAAAAATTTCAGAGAGCACAAAAGTTATTAAATCTATGGTGGCCACAAATATCTGTACCAGCCATCCAATAGCAGGCTTCCCCAACGTTCTAAGTGGCGGAGCTTGACAGGAAGCTCCACAGATATGAAAAGGCAACAAAATTTCTTTTAGATCCTAAATGCCAATGCATTAGAGTTTTGGGGACTTCGTTTCTTAACCTAAGTGTGATTTTCAATGGGCTGAATTCATTAATAAAACAGAAATCTAATAGCTTTTGTGTATCCTCCCTGGCAACCAACCCATGCTCTTATCTAGCCCAGAACTTCCCATGCTGTGTATGTATGTTTACATTTAATTCCTCTAGGCATTTCCAGATGCTGCTGCTCGCTCCCCTCACAGACTTCGCCTTTCACTCACTGCTGAAATAAGAGACCACAGAGAAAGTATTCGAGCACGTCTTACTTGGCATTTCCTGGTCAGGAGCTGGACAGATTCTTTCACTCCTTTTTGGCCTTGCTGTCATATGTCCACCCTTAAGTTCACAGTGCTTGTGTTGGTTGTTCCAAGCGATAACACACAGAGGATTTTTTTTGTTTTGGCTCAGTGTTCTCTGTGCTGCTCTGCATTTAGATTTCCGTTTTTCAGCTCAAATACACACATTCTTGCCAAAATCCTGTTGGTGTACTTTCTTCATGAGTATAATGACAGGCTGGATAGGTTTGTTTTCTTAGTGAGAGGTAAGAATATGAGAAATGTTATGTGCAGTGTGCTGTGTATTCAACCATTACAGCTCATTAAGCATAATGCAAACAAGATGGCAACACAGATGGGTCAGTGTCACATTTGTTTGGTTTGTTATCAGGAGATGCATCAATGCTTTTGCTTTATTTACTGTAGGTCCTCCTTTATTATCATTCACGATCCACCAACTCCATTTTGCTGTGCAGGCAGATGTTTTCTGTGAAAAACAAACAAAGACAGACAGTATGTCTGCTTTGCACACAGATGATTTCGTCGTAACCTCTGTCACGTCACACCACATTTAGACCAAGGAGTAAATATTCTGTTCACCTCTAATACCTCAGTACCTGGTAATATCATGATGCAAGAGTGAGTTGCAGCTGGATGTTGGCATGCCTCTGCAGTCCATGTATATATTTCCATTCACCTACACTTTAGGAATACAACAAAGAAACCTGAAGCAGATGTGTCGTGTCAGCGCCATTCAAAATGCTGCATTGTCACTTAAACTCAGTCAATATAAAAGAAGGATACAGGGAAA